TCAGAGTTCTTCCTCTACATTAGCCATTTTTCTAGTTACGTGTCATCTAGATTTTCTCATAGCAACCCTATGACAAAGCAGAACTGCCCCAAAGGGTAATCTTTACCAGGTGCAGATTGCCAGATCTTTCTCCTGTGGATCCTTTGGGTGAGTTCTTTCTGGTTAGCAACCAAGTGCTTAACTATTATAAGTTACAGCTAATAGGTAAGAGGGCTCCTTTGTTAATGAACCAAAGAAGAACCCTCATGTCTAAGGACAACACTTTTGGTTACAGATTCTTAAGTAACTTTAAACATTTTGTCATTAAAATGGTTCTGTAATAAGTTATTTTCATCATCTGCATCCTAGTATCTCCAAGTGACTTCACAAACTATACTTCTTTGGTTTTGTTCTGAAATAAGGTCTGCTCCTTTGAAGAATTACCAAATGCATCCACTGTCTTGTTCTTGGAGAGCTTTCACCTACTAAGCTTGTAGAGAGCACTGTATCACACTGAAACCACTTACTAGAAATGAATCAGAATTCTGTTAACTTGCATTTCTAAATATGGACATTAGTTAAAATAATACTCAAAAAATGTGTATTTTGTATTACAGTTGGTGTAAGCTTTTAGATTTTTATTTTTCTATATTGTTTGAAAAAAATCAATTCAAATATAGTAAAGATACTTAACTAAAATAACTCATTTCCTTATAATAAGACATAATAGAAATCTCTTATTTAGTTGTTGTTGTTGTTGTAATGTGCCGTCGAGTCCGCCCCGACTCATAGCGATCCCTCGTTGGGTTTCTGAGACAGTATCATTACAAAAGTAGATAGCCCAACCTTCCTTCCGAGGAGTGGCTGGTGGGTTTGAACCGTCAGCCTTCTGGTTAGCAGTCAAGTGCTCTAGGAAATACACTACCAGAGCTCGCGTTTTTCATCATAGAGACTATTTTGCTTTGCCTTAATGTCTTAAATAAATTGAATTCCTTTTGAAAGCAGGCTGCTACATAAAACTGAACACTTCATTACCAACAAGGACAATGTTTTATTGAACAAATCTATTTACAATACAAAAAAATTTCTTGAAATGAAACACTATTGTTGATTTATTGCAGTTCAATGGCTCAGTTTTAATTTGTACTCTTATAAAATGCAAAGTAAAATAATTTAATGTTCAACAAGGAAGCACAAATATCCTTCCTTGCTGAATCTGTAATATCTATCACATATTAACAATTTCAAAATGCATATGCAGCATTTAATCATTCTGAAAAGGTGGTTTACAGTACCAAATAAATTAAAAAATAAACACTATCACCTCTTTTAAGGTTTTTCATCCATACAACAGTATCAAACCAAACATGAAAGGAGTACAGCTGAACCTTCAATGTGATTTAAAAAAAATCACAAGTTTAATGTTATAAATTATTTACTCAAATTATGTAGGGTTTTTTCTTTTTTCTTTAAAAAATGAGTATGGCTAAAAGCCCAAAGTACCAGTGTCCTTGCCCACAGACATGCCCCTTTTCTACCTCCTCCATAATATCTGAGCAGCAAAAATTCAGATTTGCTATCTTCTTGACCTTACTAAAACATAGAAGGAATAATTAATTTTTTAAAGGAAATTTTTATTTCAAAACAAATGTTTGAAACTTGGTCCATGTAAGATAAACACATTCTCATAACAGAAGGAGTAGCAAAATAGAAAAAAAAGAGCAGAGTCAGAGGAATAAGAAAGCTTTCTTTTCTTCTGAATCTCAAATTAGAAGTGTTGGAAGTTTATTCACCTTACAAAAGCAAAATGATTTAAATTTGTTTTATAAGACATACATAATATTAAAATGTACACATATTTTCAATAGAGATTATTTAAGAACTATATAAATAAAAAGGTTGAAGACAGTGTAGTCAAATAGAATTTATAAACCATTCTTTGAATTTAGTTATTTATAAACCAATTTGATCTCATTCTTTCAGAGCAATACAAAAGGATACATATAACCTCAAACTTAAAGACCAAAAAGAAACTAACTAGATTATGTTTAAAAGCATCTTAGTATGAGCTGCAAAATTAATGAAAAGGTTAACAATTTGTGGGCATGGATTTATGTCAATGGTTACAATGTCTATGAAAGTAAAAAAATGTGATGAAATTTTAACAGCTATTTTAAACTTTAGGAAAAATGTACAAACCACAAAGTATAGTTCAAGAAAAACTTCATTTCCAAACGAACCAGTTTCCAAACAGGCTTTTTATTACATCATATACTTTAAAACTGAACTAAAATAGAATTCATTACATTTTTAGTATCAGGAAATATGGAAAGCTGTTTCTTTAGTTGACCCTAAAGAAAGGATTAAAAATCTGATTATTAGTTCTATTTTATTTAAATATAAATTTCACAGCCTAATATAGGCTACATAACCAAACAAAAACAAACCTAATTTTGGTTGGAATGCATTTCTGACCATCATTGCATAGTAGTGATGTCCTATGATAAACTAATAAAATTACTTAATATTTTTCTACATCACCTGCTATATCATGACCTGGAAATCCTAATTTAAAAAAGTCTGTATGCTGCCCTGGAAAAAAAATGACCCATTTCCTCAGTAACCTGATTGAAGAAACTTTACTATCCTAAAATTTCTAATAGTAGGGGCCGATGAGATTACCTGCTTTGAACAAAAATTTATCAGTTGGAGTAACTGGATCTATTTGGTTGACACTGGTGCATTAGTAGCTCTTTTTTTTTTTTTTTAAGAATTTCCCTTTGCATTTTTGTTGTTTTCATCCCTGTTTAGATTAACAAAGTTATTAGGTAAAAGGAGTTCTTCAGGTTTCCTCTTTTCAAAATGGACAAGCGGAAAACATTGAATTTGAGAAGGTATTTTTAAAAACATTTGTTTTAACCATTTACTGACTATTAAGTTATAATCGTCCTTAGGAAAATTACTGGTTACCAACGGAAATAATGCATCAATAAATACATCTCTTGTGTTTTTGTTGTGCAAATTGTGTAAATACTTCCTTTTATATATATATAAACTTCTGTTCAGACCAAATCCATCACTACTAAACAAGAAAGCATGAGTAGTATGGCTTAATTTTGGAGTTAAATTTCCTAACTGAATAAAATCAATGAATATTTTACCAGATTCTTAGTTGACATAATTTTTTAAAAGCCAGTTATCCTTATAGGACTGTGCTTGTTGTTGTTGTTGTTGTTATGTGCCGTCGAGTCAAACCCGACTCATAGCGACCCCTCCTTGGGTTTCCAAGGCAGTATCACTACGGAAGTAGGATTGCCCAACCTTCCTTCCGAGAGGACTGTGCTTAGATAACTCATATTAATGTCTAAAGGACCTTATGAATCATCAAGCAATGTCCTAACACTACTCTGTATTCAAATAGAAATATCCCAGTGTGCTTATACCATTATTCACATTGAGGAATTTGCAATTCAGTGTTTTCCTTCAACTATACAGCCTTTACATGGTCTTAGATTCCTCCCACGTCTCCCCAAAGTTACTGATGGTTGTTGTTATTGTTGCTGCTATTAGGTGCCGTGGAGTCAGTTCTGAATCATAGTGACTCTATGTACAAAAGAACAAAACACTGCCTGGTCCTGTGCCATCCTCACAATTGTTGCTACGCTTCAGCCCACTGTCACAACCACTGCGTCAATCCATCTTGTTGATGGTCTTCCTTTTTTCTTGACCCTCTACTTTAACAAGCGTGACGTCCTTACTTTTTCTATTTGACACTGCTGCCTCGTAAATATAATTAATTTATATTATGAAAGTGGAAAATTCTATCAAAAACTTGTTAGCAAAACATTGGTGGTTTATTTTAATTTTTTTTAGTTTTCAAAATCGGCATGCCATTCATTGAATTTTGTCTATTTGTCTAATCATCTGGAAACAAATTATAGTATTTAACAGGTAACATGTGAAAACCGAAGTTTTATTTTCAGTTTTCTAAATTACAGCCCAAATAGTAGTGGTTCCTTAAATTATGTTTGATCAGAGGGAAGACATAATCTGATTATGCATAAAAAGAAAACAAATCCTATTTGTATAAAACTTTAAGTTGTTTACCATTAGCCAACTTCCTTATTTTAAATGGGTTAACTTCCCTTTCTGTAAGGCCATAACTGGTTTTACTTTCTGACTAGTCGCCTTAGCGTGTTTCTCACAAAAGCGAAACTGAACATGCTGCTATTATGGTATTTTTTAAATGTGGTTTTCTGGATAACTGGTACTTTGGGAGTTCTATAATAACCCTTTAGAAGTCTAAACCAGCACATCTCTGCAAGTTCATTCTAGAAAATGTGCTTTGACTTTATCATCTTTAGTAATCCAAGACCGCTCTAAAATTAAGGCCATCTGGGAAATAGCAAACTGATGATGCATTTTCTTGTAGTGCTTTTTTCATACTACTGCTTGACAGACAGGTCTTTCTGAAACATTTTTATCAGGCACCTGTAAAACAGAACATGTCTATTAATTCAAACTGTATAGTTGTTCATCTGGAATTCTAAGTCAGATTTCTATTTAATTTATACCCTTTCTTATTCAAAGGTAATTGATATTAGTAGAAAGGCAAGCTCATCTTTCATTTATTTTTTCCTTTTAAAATTATTTTTGCTTCTTTTTCACTTCTGTTTTTATAACAAAGGTTCACTACCTTCCCTTTATTTATATTCTGGCCTGCAGATGAAAACATGTTTTCATCATAATTACTTTGTTTCTAGACATTTTACTATGTAAAACTTGGAATGAAGAAGAGCCTTTGATACAGTGGAAAGAGTACGAAAGATCAAAGAGTATTAAAGACCTGTGTTCAAATCATGACTTGTACAGTTCATAGGCCTATACTTTTTCCAAAATACTTAATCTCTGTGAATTTCACTGCTTGATTTATAAAACAGGAATAGCAATATCACCTCATGGTGGTTGTATAGGTTAAAGGAAATAATTTTTAAGATAGTGCTTTACAAAAGTTACATGTGCTATACAAATGTTAATTTTTTAACTACATAAAAATCTATTATAGTTTTATCGATAGCATTTTCTATTTCTACAGATAAACCTACTGAGAAGATTGCAGACTTACTTTCATCATCTGAATCAAATCCAAAGAGTGTCTGACATTTCTTTTGTGCAAGGTGAGCCTCAAGTGCTTCTGCATTACAGTAGGTGGTCAGGCATTTGCCACATCTTAATCTTTTCACTGATTTTTTACAAACATTATCTTGATCAGAACAGGTATCTACCCTATCACTCAGAAATTTTCTGCGTTTTGGCATACTAAGGTACCGTTCATCGAGGTAACTGGGAGGCAGTGGTCTGACATATGGCTTTGTTAAAATTAAGCCATATGAAGTATGTTCACTTGTCAGATTTGGTTTGGAAGGTGCCTGAGATATTGGCAGGGTATTGTGTTCCTGTGATACAACACTGGGTAAAATGGAACCATTTTCTGTCCTGGTTCTATTTGTATCAATTTTCAAAGCAGGATCTGATAAAAGTAAAGGTGTTTGTCCTTTTTCACTGTGTCCATTTACTAAATGATCACTAATGGTACAATTATTTTCAGAATTTGGCTCTATGTCAGGCATCTTTTGGTCTCTCAAGCATATATCTGAAACAGTGTCATCAGCATGTTCATTTCCATTCTGAACTAAACTGTCTGTTTTCTTCTCCATACTTTCTATACACATCTTTGGTTCTGTATAATCTTTCCTTGATTTGCTTGTAGAAACTGGCAGACTAATAACTTGATTCTCATTACTAGATGAGTCATTCTCCTGATGATCAGGAGTCGAGTCTGTAAGAACATCCCAAAGAATTGATTCACTTGGTTGTGTAGATGATTCTGGTGTTTTACTTAAATAATGCTGAGCTTCATGTTCATACAGTAGAGGAAGATCTTCAAAAAGCTCATGACATTCTGGAAAACTACACTGAGCTTGAAATATCCTGTGACTTTTTATATGCTGAGCAAGCTGGAATGGCAGTTTAAAGGATTCACTGCAATTAAAATGCAAACAAAAATACACATTTGGATAGCTATGTCTGTTAAGGTGATCTATAAAATGTTGAGAATCTTCAAATTGCCTTTGACAAAATTTGCATTTTCCTTTACTCCATTTCATTACTGTTTGCCGCACATTTAAATCAGTTGGATGTACAGTCCTTGCATGTTTATTTAGAAATCCAATCTTTTTAAATATCCTGATACAACCAAGAGCAGGACACTTAAAATTTCCTTCTTGATCTGTAGCATATATGTCTTTTGGATGGCACACAGTTCCATTGATTTTATGAAGTACTGAAGTTTCTTGGTTCAGGTCATAATCATCTTCCTCATAATCGCCTTCTTCCTCCTCCTCTTCATCATCATCTTCACATTCAGGTAAAGGCTCCAGAACATTGTTTAAAGAGGTATCAGGACTACCGTTTTTAATAATGTTTTCAATAACATCTTCTGATACACTTACAGGAATTTCTATGAATTCAGCCATACGCTCAGGGATGACTTCTTTGTTCCCATCACTGGAAGCAGTAAGTGGCTCTACTTCCAAATTCTTATTATCAGAGTTACCATTTTCATATGAAATGGAAGAATCAGAACAATTTATTTCTTCCAAAGCAGGGATTTCCTGATCTTCTAGTTGGGCTACAGCAATCTGCTGTCTCTGTATTTTCTTAACATGATTTTTCAAATGCTTCTGCATAAGTCCTCTGTTTCTAAATTTCCTACCACATATTACACATGAAAAACTGCCTTTTTTCTGATGAGCCTGGGCATGCCTAACAATGTGACCACCTAGAAACTCCTTGTTACATAACACACACCGATGCCTTGGGACATTGTGATCTACTTTGGAAGCATTAAGAGCTGTAAAGTTTTTCTTTGTATTAGTATGACTTTTAGATTGCACTCCAGATATATAGTCGAGATCAAACTCTCCAGTGGTCTGATCTATAAGAGAGTGAAGCCCTTCATCTAAACCTTGTTGCTCCACTGTTTTTAGATTACCTGTAGAATTTTCCAGTGTACTTTCATTTAAAAATCTAACTGCTGATTTATCTCTCAATAATGCTACACAGTTTTTCTTAATCATTACAAAGTTCCAAAATTCAGGATCAAAAAACAATCCCTTTTTCAAAATTGGAAGTAATTCAAAGCGAACACAATTTTGAACACTACTCATGCCTTCATTATATTCTTCATCTGGACGTTTATAGAGCCGTTCAACAGTATGGTAGGCTTCCAAGGAACGCTCAAGAAAAAATATTGAGAGTGCACAAATCCTCAGGATCTCCAAATCATTTGGCAAAAAATGTGCAATTGTTTTATAAATTAGACATTTAGTTTTGGGGTCATCATGAAGGTCTAGTTGTAGAGCACAACCACATATTTCAACACAAATCTGCAAGCCTTCCTCTTCAACCTGTAGAAAGAAAAATACTACTACTAAATACTTAAAAAAACACTAATTGTATAATCTTTATAAAATATAACTCAGAAATGAAAGTCAAACAGTATTTCAAATGTACAGATCCCCCCCATAGGCAGCCTCTTTTAACTTCTTTTTAATATATCTTTTTTTTTTTTAATGTTAGAATAATTGGAATAGATAGCACTGTAGTTTCTAATATAATTAATTTTCATGTGTCACAAGCCCTACTAATTATAGTACAAAACATTTCACAGACTTATGGGGATTTATTTCCTACAGGTCTCCAAAACCAAACCAAACTCACTGCCATCGAGTTGATTCCAACTAATAGTGACCCTCATTGGGTGTCCACGTCTGTAAGTCTTTACAGACTTAAGTCTTAAGCAGATCACTTCATCTTTCCTCCGCAGAGTGGCTGCTGGGTTTGAACCACTGACCTTTGGGTTAGCAGCCAAATTCTTTAACCATTACACCACCTTTCTCGCAAATCTAGACCCCATTTATTATTTTAGGTACCAATCTTAAATTCTCTAGCAGAATTAATTTGCACATATTTAAACACATTTTTCAATTTTCAATATTAAGAAATAAGTAGATTTTAAAAAAGAACTGCTTATGGAAACTCCTTCATAAAGCTGTACTAAAAAATATTACTCATTTTACTTAAGTAATTTGACTTATTCTTTATCCAAGTATGAGGGCAAGTGTGGCCCACATCAAAAGGGCAATTACAATTCATTCCATATTTAATAAATTGACAGAATAATGAACCTACTGAAAGTTATTTAAAAAATATTCAGGCTTTGAAACTTTTACTGGTAACTCAAAGAAACTGCATCAGCTTTTATTTGGGAATCTGTTATTTATCCATCTTAGCTCAACGAATTATCTAAATGTTTAAATGTAAAAAAATATAACAAGAGATTGTCTTTAAAATTATATGTGTACATATAGCATAATACCTGCATATGTTATATTACACATTACAGGGAGAAATACTACTTTGCCAGCCTCATATCCTCTTAAGTCCCTTAACTCCCTGCTGTGTAACCCTACTTAACTACTTGCAGTTCCACAGACAGACTTCTGCACACCATATTCCTAACTTTATTCAGCTGGTAAATTCCTACTGATCTCCTATATATTCTTTGAGAATCAATGGTACAATGGAGGTTTTTTTTTCCCATTAAATCTGGCCCCTACCTGCACAGAATTAACTTTCCATACTGTATTTTTTTTTTAAAAAAAAAGAGCTCTGGTGCTGCAGTGGTTAAGGCATTCAGCTGTTAACCAAAAGGTCAGCAGTTAGAACCCACCAGCTGCTCTGGCTGCTCCAGAGAAGAGAGACGAGGCATTCTACTTCTGTAAAGATTTATAGTCTTGGAAACCCTATGGGCAGTTCTCTGTTGCTATGTGTCAGAACCAACTCAATGGTAGTGGATTGGGTTTGGTTTGATCCTATAAGAAAAGAAGCCTTGGTGGCATAGTGGCTAAGTGCTCAGCTGTCATCTAAAAGGTCGGTGGTTGAAAGTATCAGCTGATCCATGGGAGAAAGATGTAGTAGTCTGCTTCTGTAAAGATGTAGAGCCTTAGAAACCATATGGAATAATTCTACTCTGTCCTGTATGGTTGCTATGAGTTGGAATCAACTCAAAGGTAATGGGTTTTGTTTTGTTTTTTTACTTCTATAAACGAGCACTGTGCTAGGCTGCTAACTGAAAGGTCAATAGTTCAAGCCCACCAGTGGCCCTGCAAAAAAAACATAGTGATCTGTACCCGTAACTATTAGAGCTTAGGAAACTCTATGGGGCAATTCTACTCTGTTGTATAGAGTCACTATGAATTAAAACCGAGTTGGAGGCACACATCAACAACAACATTCTTTCTACAGAGAATAATTTATACTTATCTCTAGAAGTATTTACATGTTATTTTATAATTATCTGTGTATGTTCTCCAACTTTAAATTACAAAATGACAGGAATAACACTGTCTTATTTTTTGTACTCTGCTATGGTTAATACATAACTTAATATGTAGTGAGCTTTGAATAAATTCATCATCTTCACCTTGGAATCCTTTTCTGAATTTGAAATTCTTATTTCTAATTATCTATTATACAGTCCCACCTAGATTTTCCATATTAGAAACAAACAAACAAACACCAAAAAGCACATCACTTTCAAGTCATGGCAACCCCTTGTATGCAAAATAAAACTGTTCCACAGAGCTTTCCAAGTCTAAAAGCAGATTCCCAGGCCTTTCTTCCAAGGCACACGTGGGTGGGTTCAAACCATCAGATTTTTGGTTAGTAGTTGAGGGCTTAACCATTTGCACTACTCAGAGACTTCTTTCTGGATAGAACAAATTCAAAATTCACTGGTTCAAAATGGAATTCATTTTGTCTCTCCAAAGTACTATCTATATTCTCTATCTTGATTCATAAAATCTTAATGTTTCCAGGTGTCTTAAAATCTCAGGATAATTACAAAAGGGAATACTTCCTAAGCAGAAATCTTTTAGATTCCAGACTATTTATGATTTGAGGTTCCAACATATAGTACAGCATTCAAATCCCTTTATGATCCAGACACCCCTGCCCCATGTCTCTTGATCTCATTCATCTCCCACCTACCTTCCCACATCTTTGCTACTGTTATTAACACCACCAGAGGTATGAGAAACAAATAATAATATGAGGTATACGTGCTCTGTAAACTATAAAATCCTCTACAAATGTTAGTATTATCCTCATCCATCAATCAAAACCCAGCTTAAAGTACCTTTCCCTGTGAGGCCTTCTCAGATAATGCCTTCTATAATGTCTCCTTTTAAACTCATACAGCACTGCAATTATGCTTCACAGCAGTGAAGAAACATAAATGATCTATTCCATGAAATAAAAACTGTTTTAGTAATTTGAACTGTTTATATATCATGTTATTAATATTTACTTCATCTTTGACTTTGTCCTCTTACAATGTATTTGTAGGTTAACCAGGCATGTGGGGAGGAAAAAAACCAAACAACTGTATGATAATTCCCTGAACCTCACTTATGCTGTAAAGTTTCTATACCAGTGTTGTATCCTTTGGTAAAAATGGGAATCATATGTTAAAAAAAAAAAAAAAAAATATGGATACATCTGTATTTTTTAAAAGTTCTACAGGTGATACTGCAAATCTTGCAAATTAATGTTCTAAAGCAAAGTTTGTTTTTTAATTCATCTTCTTGGGGGGGAGAAGTTAACTTTGATAAATACCTTTATTTGAATGACATTTTACTATTTAATAATGATGCTATGAATGCAGTTAGCAAAATAAACATGAAATAAAAAAAGAAGAAAATCCTGAGAAACAATGCCACCAAATTTATATCATGGTGCTATATATAATGCATGGATGTACATCTACTGACATAGTAATGACTGTGGTAAGTGTATAAATACCTAAGAAAAATTTAAAATATATTATTTAATGGATGCCTCCTTATATATTTAAACATAACCCACATAAAGATTCAGTTAAAAAGAAGAACTACCTAAAATGTAAGATGTTTTTCATGTCTTTATATACATACATATATGTATACACACACACACACAGAGCAATCACCTGCTGGTATGCCTAAGAGATCTCTAATATTCAAGTTGTTAATATTTTTTATCTACAGGATCCACTTCATGTGTGTTTAAGACTCTTATGTAGAATTGTAATCACTTGCAAACAGGTTAATAAAAGAATTCAGGACTACATTTAAAAAAACAAAAAACATATAATGGGTTTTTATACTTCCTTCAAACAACCACTTTAAAAACTACTCCCTAGGTTTCAAAAAGTTAGACTTTAACACTGCCTCAGAATTCACTTGTTTTCTACATGAACACCTGACTTAAAACTGTGAAAAAAGTTTCTCTATGATTTTCAGCAGATACACAAATAGATATACAGAGTTTCAGTTGCAAGTTAATTAAGAGGCTACAAATGGGACTTAGGATGATGTTAAACCTGACAAACTTAACAGAAAAAAAAAGTAATAGCTTATGGATGCATCATCTCCAAGTTAAATTTTAAATGACAATTGTTTTTCTTTTCTCAGTTATTTCCACTTATGTATAATCTTAGGAACTCTGGTGGCGTAGTGCCTAAGGCATTTGACTGCTAACCAGAAGGCTGGCGGTTCACTGAGCAATCTACTTCTGTAGAGATACCGCCTCGGACAGCCAAGGAGGGGTCACTATGAGTCAAAAATGACTTGACAGCAGTGAGTTTGGTTTGGTTTTGGTGCGTACAATCTTTGTACCATTTTGAGAGCTTGGGGCAGGAGCACTGGCGAGGAAAAGATGTACTATACTAAGAATGTGGACTTAAAACGCCCCCTTTCAATTTTATAAACAAATTTTTATGTAAGAGATTCTTATGTAAGTTTCAGTGAACTGTCATTTAAATTTAATTTAAAATGCAAGGTATAAATATATCCTATTTACCTCATCTTTAATGATTTTCATGAAAGGAAATATGACTCTCACATTAGTTGCTGTTCTTAAAAGCTGGTAGCATTGATCTACAAAA